TATACATGATTTTTAGAACGTGGCGACATCATATGCATCACATACTCCAACTGTGTGGGCTAGAGAGAGGAAAAAAGAGATGGAAACATTCGAATAAAAAAAAAATGGCAATTATTGATTTATGGGAGCTATTTTACATATGATTGCTCATGGAGGCTGGCCTAAAGCATTGCATTAAGTACTGTGGGTCACAATGTTTCAAAGTGGCAGTAAGTATAGGTGATACATCTGGAAGTCTGGGGATGTGTGGCATCGGGCAGAGGAGTGGGTCATTCCCTCACGTTACTGGCTGACCACAGCATCCTGAGGCCCGACCCTGTTGTCTCAAGGTTGGTCGTGGTGACATGGCTTTTTCACCAGCTACCAGAATTAATTGCAGCCGTCATTGAATAATATCTGTTTAGCTAATGCAGGGCTGTGCTTGAGCACGTGTGTGGGCATTGGGCATAAAAGTATATTTGTGAAGTACATTATGGGAGAAAATGCACAATAATATTATATTTACCGGCATATACTAAATTAATAAAATATATCACACTGCCATTACAACATGTAAATAAAAACAAAACATTAACTCCTGTGTAAATAATGAATACAAAATGAAGTCATTTATACGACGTAACCACTTATTTTCATTTACGAGTCCGCTAAAGGGACTGTGGATTTTTGGAAATAAATACATAAATACATAATAATCAACACTGGGAGTGTTCGGCATAGAGTTGGCAAGTATGATATAGCAAATGCATGTGCTTGAAAAGTTTATACTTTAAATATTTGACTATCATTGCACTAAAGCCTCGTCTTAAACAGTGCTTAAACACAGTGCACTTGTGAATGATGGAAAAGATGTACAAATCCAAACTCGTGTATTATTAAATAATAACCTCTCAACATGCGATAGCACCGTGAATCCAAAAAAGTGTATAAATGACTTTAAACAATAAATATTAAATATATTCATTAAAATAAATTAACAAAGATAAGAAGAGTGCTATTATTCACAAGCAATGACATCCTCAGGGATGGGTAAGTGATAATTAAATATTTACAATTTCCTGTGCCTTTGACCTTGCAGTTTTCCTATCCAGCACTCCGGTAATCATTACCCGTGCATTGTCCTCAGTGCTGAATATTCCACCAGCGAGACGGGTGAGGATCAGATGTCTTAGCAATCACGGATGCCGCTTTCACAGGTGCCTGTTGCTGCTTCGTAGCAATTCCGGAAGCGCAGATAAACCCACAATCTCTCTCCAGGGTATCTCATTCCCTTTTTATCCAATACATTTGAATAGCCGCCAACCTTCGTTAACAAAATTATTTGGCACATCCCGTGATGGGTACTGCATTTCCGACCATGTCTGTCCAGTGCTCGCTAGGCTGCATCGGCTTGCGGTTGCTAAACGAATACATTTAAGGTCGCGCACATTACGCACAAAGTGCTCGCCACAAATGAACCACAATATCTTGCAAATCTTGTCAAGGAGCATACACCATCACGCAGATTCTGGTCACCCTCGCAGTGGCTTTTTGCAAGCCATTGAACAAATAGGGCCAGTCCATCGCGTGCTTTCAGATGCGCTTCTGTGGCTGTCTGGAACCCTCTTCTGATATTAGGAGAGATGCAATTTTAAATCTAGGTTGAAAACTAATTTCTTTAGAACTGCTTTTTGTGTTAACTTTGTTTGTTGTCTTTCCCCTGCACCTCTGATTAGCACGGTTAGCTACATACGGTGCAAAAGAAGTTAAACATACATAAAGCAAGTAGAAATATAACACATTCCTGTGGAGGGAGCTGGTAGGAACGTTGGGTTGCTCGGTCAATGGCCAGGGTCAACAGCGGCGTGGTTTATTCCACAAATATGCCCGACTGTGAGGGCGGGCACAAGCCGGCGTGAGTAGGTTAAACGTTGAGTTTTATAAGGGCACCACGGGGTGACCAGCCCCTCCCCACCCAGCCCCACCCCTCCCACCCCCACCCAGCCCCACCCAGCCCCTCCCCTTCCCACCCCTCCCCACCCCTCCCCACCCCCCCAGCCCCAGCCACCCCCACCCCCCAGCCCCACCCCTCCCACCCAGCCCCTCCCACCCCAGCCCCTCCACCCCCCTCCCTGAACGATGGACGGACACAATAATCCCCTGTGGGCTGGTGGTGGAACCAGGTGGTTCCTACCAGTAAAACTAAATATGAGTGGAAATACATACAGGGCAACTGTACACGTTTAAACATAAAGTGACATGTAGCTGATTTGTTATCACTGACTGTTTTTATGAATTGTCAAGTGCTGGAATTAATTGTTTCTTGAATAAAAATATTATAATTATATAAATGAATATAAATAGAATAGTAGCAGTGCATTATTAATATTATTAAGATGAGATGTAAGGAAGGCAGTGTAATAGAGTTTTACGCTTATCAATACGTGTCACTTGTGGTTAGACTCATACCACACATATGCAGTTGTCAATATCAGGTCAATGTCTTTTTTACATTTATTAGCCAAAAGGGCACATAGCCAGGCACATTGTGTGGTAAATTGCAATTTATGGTATCCAAGATACTCATTGCATTTTTTGAGGAGGTCTATACGTGGAATATATTTCAAGCTATTATGCATACATGGACAATACAGAAGCTTGTGTTGCCTCCGAAACGTCGTGATTTTATTTTATTTTTTATTTTACTTTTATTAATTTAAATGTTTTACCTACGTGACTTTACCGAAAAAAACCTAAGAATATGAATACATGGACAAGATTGTTCAGCTGTTGTAGACAGATGTTTCGTGTTGAGGGACACTTATGACTCAGGAAAATAAGCAGTGACATTTTCAGGCAATGGTTCTCCGTTGAAGTTAAAAAGTTCATCCGAAGGGTCATAAACTAAACCCTTTTTGCTTGTTTTTCTTTATCACAGACTACGCATTTAACTTTCAAATGACGTTGGCCATAAGTGTTTCTATGTATAATGTAAACACTGGTATTTTTTTCACACACCAAGGATTCTCTCACGAGCAAATATAAAACCTATTTTGCAGGATGTCCTTTCCTTTCATGCCTACAAAATTGTTAACTTTGAAACAAATATAGGTGACAGCACAGCTCACAATCACCTGCTTCTAGATAAATAAACTCACGATAGTTCCTTCAATTTTTTTAGAGACTTGCTTCGTGTGCAGATATAATAGAAAATCATTCCTTCACACTGGCACACAATTGCTTGCTCATATTCAGAGTGACGGGGTCGTTTTGGACCCACAGTTTATAAGAGAAACCATGCCATATAACGACGCTACTTTAATGTCAAGACATTCTACTTCACATTATTTAGGAGTCAAGAGGCGACTTGAACCAGTCCAGAAACTGGCAAAGCTTTGAACCGTGAGGCAGAAATGCTTTACCTGAAGATATACATGTTATCCAGTTGCAACCAAGCCACATATATGTAAATAAGAGTGCAAATTATAATAATTACCGTTTGTTGTTAATCCACTGCTGGATGATGGATTCCTCATACTGTGTTGCTTGCAGGGTGGTTGTTTAACCAAATTCCACACCACATTGTGTGTATTGGTCAAAGACGGGTACAGGACTAGTACAGATAGCTGTGGCCAGGAATCAAACTCGGGTAGCGATGCTCATAACACAGTACATGCTAACCACTGTGCCACCGTTCGATCTTAATTAGTGCTTATTGGTCTTAAAATTAGAATACTAAATTAGAGTGTTTAAATGCACATGACATTATTCATTATATTGGCTCCATATTTTGCATGTCATGGCTCGCCATGTTGGAATTTATACAGGACAGAGTGCACAATATTTCAATTTTTCAGTTTAAAAAAATAAATACGTTGTGTTTTGGTACACGTTATAGGAGCAGACTTGCAAAATCACTGGTACTCGTTGAGTTTTGTCAAATGAGTGACACAAAAAAGTTAAACAAAGCTTAAAAGCTAATTCTATTGCAAGCATGAGCCAGCCCCATCAGTCGACACAGATTTACCAGAGATTTGACAAAGCACACACTGTGGGTAGATTGTGCTTAGAACTGGCCAATTGGCCCAACTCAGGATTGGAAGGTTGTGGATTCAAATATTGGTCAGGGGTCGAGACAACGTATCATTTCACTACGGTCAACAAAATGACCATTGCTTTGTGACAACAGTGATTATACTGTGGTCCTGCCAGAGGAATATAGAATTTTCCATCCACCGGCTCAGGGCCACCACCAATCACCCGAGGCTTATTTGAGCAGGGAGACTCTTCAACATTGACGTTTGAATTTAGATGAGATCCAGATCCGATGCGACCACATATCCTCCTGCGTGTCTGATTGAAAGCTGTGTAATGCACTGTGGGTAACTGTTTTGCGTTGTGTGAGCAGGGGCCGTGTACATACTAATCAATGCTGACACCCAAATTTGTAGCAAAATATAATCGCTCTGACATTGCATGAACTGCTTTGATGTAGTGTGATTGTGTACAATAAAAGTTAATGCGGCTGTTTGTACATTGTTAATCAATTTAATGTTCAACATTTACAATGATAATGCACATGTCCAATGTGTTATAATGATATAAATGTAAAACATATATAACAAGATTTTTATACTTTTGAAATGAATGTATATTTTTTGGGCAAGAATAGAATTGCAAGCATGCTTGGTCTAGCTGTATACGATCACTGTGAGAGATAGGGCATATTATTTTTTGATGCACGATTGTCATTTATTTCTACTCTAAAAGCATAGAGAAGCAGAGTATATTTGAACTGCATAATGTGTTCACTGATAAAAGGAATTGATGGTTAAAACATGTTTCAGATATTGTACAATCAGTACAATATAAAATTGTATATTTTTCAATGAAAGGTGCATACAAATTGACAATTATCGTGGCTTAAATGAATGTTTAAATTAATGTGTTTTTGCATTCTCTTTGTATGCACATTTGAATCATGTTTTTAAATTAATTACCAGTTTTATCACTTGAGTGGTGTATGGGGAATAACAAACACAGCTTCTCACTATTTTTGTATTTGTTGATTGGCCTCTGAAAACATTATTGACAGTTTCATTGTTTCTTCACACCTAGGATGCCTCAATAGCTCACAGATTTCACCTGATGAGAGAGAAGCACCCAGAGAAATTCAACAGCCGGTAAGATCACACACATCCTCTAGGGTCCTCATTCAAACAGTCATCGTTATGGTCTAGCCAGGGTGTCATTAAAGTCATTTCAAGAGCTGTGAATATGTATATTAACATTTGTTATATATTTTGATGTCGAAACATTTTTTAAAAGACATGCTTACGAGATTAATTTTATATAACCATGACAACATTTCTCGATTTTTCTGTGTGTACCATAATATTTATAACTTACATTTTTTTGGTAATCCACTGCTGGATGAAGGCCTACCCATGCCATGTTGTTCATGGGTGTTATTTGACCATACTTCACCACACTAGTCATTGCAGGTTATTTCATAACCAGTTCCAATATCACCTCACTATTAGCTCTGGCCAGGAATCAAACTCAGATCTCTGAGTTCATAGAGCAGTGTGCTAACCACTATGCCACCATTCCACTCCATGAGCGTGCAAATATTCCATACAGTTGAATTTGGATAGCAGGGATCGCTACTTATTTATAGACAAAGAAACGACTATACTGGTTCATCTTCCAGATACACCTATTTTTAAATTATGATCCTGTATCCATTTACTTTGAAGAAGCAAGGACATGTTGTTTAACGCATCTAACGTTATATAGTAATTTATTCCAAAGTTAATGGGGTGGTTACAATTTTTTATTTTCAGTAGCTTACTTAGTAATTACTATTGATAATTCCTTTTTGTATTTATCACCTTCCAAGCGCTTGTCTAAATTTAACACGCCTGCTTTTGCATGCATACATTGGCTGGTACTGTACGCATAACAACTGTGGCCATCTTGCCAGTAGAGCTTCACATAGTGTGTATGAGCCATTCTTTTTTAAGGTTTGAAAGTGGTTGCGAGAAGACCTGTGTATTCGTCACTTTATAATAAAACAGCATTTCATGAAAGTGCGTTTCATGGCTTGAAGTTTGGAAAGTTTAAACAATGTTGTGGCAATGTATTTAGTAAAACAAAAACAGTTGGTTTAGCAATTTGAATGACTTAAACAAAAAAACTGCAAATCAGGTGAAACGTGTTTTACTTTTGTGATTCGCTTTTTATGCCCCACCAAAATAATGTATCGTCATCAGAAGCAATACGGCTCGCCAGAATATAGAATGTTTATTTCACATTTTGACTTCAAACTTTCGTGACTGCAGGAATTAATATTCTTCGGTTCGATCGTAACACAAGCGGACGACTGCTTGTGTTGCTTGCTACAGCAGCCCTTTTGCCCACTTCAGCAATTGTTTCTTGCTCTGGTTGTCCCACCTGATGGCGGGCGCTTTTGTTGCACCCGAAACGTCGTGATTTTATTTTATTTGATACCTACGTGACTTTACCGAAAGAACCAAAGAGTATGGATCCCTGCAGTCACGAAAACTTCAAATCTAGATTAGTCACTTTATTTTTATTTTTTCTATCTACGTAACTTTACCAAAAGAACCAAAGACTATGTTTCTTTAACATGTTTTCATTGTTATGTAAGCCTTATTAGCAATCATTGTAAATATACTTAAACCACTTACTGGCCTCAAATACATTAAAACACCAAGTTGTGATCAAGACCCTAAGTTATCCGTTGAAAGGCTAATTTCTCTGCTCCAGCAGCTGCCCCAGCAGACCCACCTCTCTCTCTGCCCCCCCCGTCTATTCAAGGCCTCGACACAGAGGCATTGGTCTCTGTGTCTATGTTGTGTGTCTCTGTGTGTGTCTATGTTGTGTGTCTCTCTCTGTGTGTGTCTGTGTTGTGTGTCTCTCTCTGTGTGTGTCTGTGTTGTGTGTCTCTCTCTGTGTGTGTCTGTGTTGTGTGTCTCTCTCTGTGTGTGTCTGTGTTGTGTGTCTCTCTCGTGTGTGTTGTGTGTCTCTCTGTGTGTGTCTCTGTGTTGTCTCTCTCTCGGTTTGTGTGTCTGTCTCCGTGTCTGTGTTTTGTCTCTCTCTCAAATGTAGTTCTACCTGATGACGGTTACTTGTGTTGCAATCGAAACCTCGTACTCTATGATTTTATTAATTTATTTCTACGTGACTTTACCGAAATAACCAAAGAGTACAGATATTTATACTTTTCTTAAATGCTATGCACATTACGTTTTTTAAGTTCACACCAGTTACAAAATCAGACATATATACAAAAAAATATTGCACCTACATTCTATTCTGGGGATATATATTTTTCAGAGAATCTAGTCATGAAACTGGTAAATAATGGCATCTTAAATGCCACAGGACTCTTTATTTTAACACGCACTGTCACACAGGCGAGAGAGAACGGAACGTGATCGAAGCACAACCGTTGGATCATCATGCAGCTGCAAGGCATGACTGGGAAAGCCAGTGAGAGTAATCAAACCAACTTAACCTCTGAAGCTAAGTGTACGTTGTTGGCCGCCCATGGCTCAGCTGTCATGCTCCCATCTACAACACTTTGGGTGTTTGTAGCAGTTGATAGCTAGAATGCCGATAAGCTCTCATGAAATGTATTTGTATCTCCCCATTCAGCAGACTGCCCATATTGTTGTTCTTTAATACCTGTTAAGATATAGGGTTGAACAAACATGTTCAGTTTAACACGTAGGCTTTCGCGACCAATGTTATTCATAATCAACGTTTTTGGGTTTAGATCGCGTTATTTATAAATGTGTCGGGTGGTGGAGGGTTACGACACATTTATAAATAACGCGATCTAAACCCAAAAACGTTGATTATGAAAAACATGTTCAACTTGAAAAGTTACAGTTTTCTATTTCATATATGTTCTTACCGTGTATCAGTTTACCCTCCAATAACTTTTGTGGACTCAAGAAAAAGTGCACAACAGTTACAGGCTTTTGCAACTTCTATATAGAAGATAGAGAATTATAAATTAACTTGGTGATATTTATGCATGTCAGAGGTTCTCCAAGTTAAATATAAAAGTGTCTCATAAAAGCTGAAATCTAGATGTAAATGCATAGTATTGCAATTCCATGACCCTCTCCCTGTCAGGTATATTGATATTGTAAGGTGTTCTCTAAGCTGGTGAGCTCTTAAAAAAACTATAAAAAATCCACCACTGACTACAAATAGTGTATTTCATGCACACCTCATAACTGTATGCTGGATAGCAGACAGAAGCGTATGGCTGCAAGCAAATATGCCGTGGTGGTGCAAGTTTCACATTAATAATGAATTACTGCAGGGATATTTTCATGAGGACCTTAAAAAATGGAAAAAATGACACATTTTTAAATGTACTCAAGGTAATTTATTGTGATGTATCTTTCAGGAAAATTGAAATGAATTAAAACACAATTATTGACTAATATCTCAATTCAACCTTTGATAAATAAAGTAAAATGTAGTATATTTGTCGAATTATGAAGATGGATCAACCTATAACATATATAAACATTCCCAATTAGCATAAGCAAGCAGAATGTTCAGTTCACAAAGTGTAGAAAATATATTCTGTATTTAAAAAAATGATGTGTTTCTCGAGGCCCGTAGACCCGTCAAGAGTGAGAGAATCGCTTACTAACAGTGTGTTCCTTTCCACCAATGCTTCTCAAAATAGAACAAAGAATCCTGCAGTTCCCTGACAGTGCCAGTCTGATGTTTCACATTGGTTTTCCCTCTGGTGAGGAAGCTTCCATTTCAGACGACTAAATTCCCTATCGTAGTGGGCGATGTGAAAGAAAAAAAAATCCACCACGACATTTTACGTGGTATTAAGCTGGTGTGTTACAATAGGTGTGAATTGACTAACACGACCTCGAATAACAGATTAGAAGTGCTTTAAAAATGTTTAACTGATATGTACATTTCAGCATTGAAATACTCACTTCCTTTTCATATCTGTTACTGTAATTACATTTTTCTGAATGTTTTTTTTTCTCAAGAAGCCCATCAATGCTTATTTAAAACTGCATTCGAAGTTGTGTTAGAAACCTAAATTATAGGAATTAAAATATAAACAGGCCCAAATTTTGCTTAGACAGGCAACAGGGGTATATGTTGGCCTCATATGCCTGCATGTTTTCAAAGTGTCACGTAGCAAGCCAATAGAAATACACATGTGCTTTTAATGTTTGAGGTGGTATGTTGGCATTAGAAGAGATGTGCACATTATATAACAACAAATAGAAAGTGTGCCCCAGAGTTCTTCAATGCTCATTCTGAATGTGAGAATATTTATTTAAATCAAGGTAAGGTTTTGCTGGGTTTGTGTTGCTGTGGGGCTTGGGACATGTAAATAGAGTGACTCGTCCCTAATTGCTGTGATGAGAGAACACGTTGTTCTGACATTTGTAGGGCAATAGGGCTTTCACAAGCATCTCTCGGCTGTCTTTCTTAAAAAAATATTATGCCAGCACGTCACCAAGACGTACAGCAGCTATATAATAATGTGGTTATCATGCAATAATCGCACTATAATGAACAGAAGTGGTAAAAGTTCAGTGGCTATAACATCTCAACAAAAGAGTGAAAAAAAATCACATTATGCTGATGAACACTTAGAAGCATGGACACTTATTAAGGCTCTGCTTCATGCCGTGGACAATGTGAAACTTCCACCATTTGCTCAGGGTGACTGATATAGATTAGCGCCACTGAACACTCGCTTGAGCAAAGAGCCAATATGACTTGTGAAGAACAGCTCGTGTTAACAGAATATATACTTCCACATTAGTGCCTGTGTGACCTAAGCAGCTGTGGATGCCACGATCCTCTCCTTGGTAATCTGGGTACAAGGGGTTGTTTTATATGACAGTTGCTAAGCAAAGTATCCACGTTGGTAAAATGTGAGATAATTAATTAAACTGTAAGGAAATAAGTGTTCTTCAAAGCACCATTGTGAACTATTGCCATACATTTACATGGCTATCTGGTACAGAAAATCAGGCTGTTGCCCTCACTGTTGTCCGCAGAGCTTGTTGACATATTTCTGTGCGTATGTGAATGGTAGCACCGCCTGCAAGTGGAGTTTCTATTGGTACTCTAATTTCCTCCCACATGCAACAAAACAGTTTATTTGCCAAGCATCACCAACATAGCCCTCCTGAAAATAAGAGTCTTTGGGCTCAGTGAGGTTTTCCTGAACAATTAACATTCAAGATCGTGATCCACGGTCAGTCCACTGCGGGCTGCAGGCCTCCCCAGGCTTCTGCCATCTCTCACAACCCTGGGATCGTGTAGAACAAAGTCAATCCACCGAGCAACTGCACACGAGCTGATTTCATTGCTCTGTCTCCCCCATTGGATGTCTTCTCCAAAGTGGTTCCTTCCATGTCTGCCACTCCATCATTGTTCTTTGACCATCGTCTCTTTGAGTGACATATCATGTTCGAGCACGCGTACTTTTTTTTTTAGCAGTTTGAATGATGTCATTCATCTAGGGTTCTAGGCGTATTCTCTAATCCAGTCAAATTGATTCTGCGAACAATAATAGTTGAAATTTATAATTCAGCCTCTGAAGATGTTTTTTACAGAGGTGTTACGGCTGAATCTTCTTACTTTACATGTTAGAACATTCGAGTAAATTATATGATGCATATCGCACTGACACCCCACCCAATATTTGTCTATTTCACTGGTCAACAAAAAAAAAACTTTTTTTTCTGGCCTGGACTTTTGCAGCGTTTTAGACTAATTTCAGGGCGCTGATTCCAAATCTGATCTCAGATTTGCTCTATCACATCTCAATTTTTATGCTATCGGCATACCCCATTTTCATTGATTTTACCCGAAATTAACCTCTGTCACTTATGATTGCAAGTTGTTGCGAGTCAGTGACTGCTTTAGTGTTAAAATATGGTGCTGTATTTTAGGATAGTGTGTTTATAATATCATTTATGTAGATATCCACATTTATTTAATATTTTTCTTCTGCAATGTTTATTTTTGGAATCAGCACCCCAAATTGACCTTAACCCGTTGGAATACCTTATGCCAGAAAAAGTGTGTTGACCAGTGTTTTCATTGTTGCATGAGTGGTTAAATCTGCTTCTGGTCAAAATCGACTGGAGAGATTTTGTTTACATTCAGCCCGTGTTGTCAGGCTTGGCTTTATTCCATTCATGATGCATTCACAGTCCCCAATGCTAAGTGCTCACACATCAAGGAGCATGCTGCTGAGTCCCATTTATAAGTAAAACAGTAATTAATCACACCTTCCAAAGCAGGTTTTCTGTGACTGACCGTGTTAGGCTTAATATAAGATCAGCCAACTCATATTCCACTCAATAAATTCTGGGTCTGGTACATTTATTACACAATTAACGCCTCTGTTAAGTATATTTTATGGAAGTGTATGCCAAAACTTGTTATATAGTGCTGTGCTGTCCCCTGCAGTTCCTAAAAAAAAACCATGACCGTTTTGAGCATATTTCTTAGAGATGGCAAAGATGTGGGGAAACCCTCAACCAGCAGTGGATTGATGGATTGATCATGGCTGTTGATAATCCATGATGACCATGATATTGTATAATACACTATCCAAGTAATATATCGAACCCGGCAACTCGAGTTCGATTCCCGCTCACGGCCACCACCGGTGACGATTATTTCAACCGGTTCTGGGCCTCCCCTAGGTTGACTCAGCCTCAAACGAGTAACTGGTGTGGGTGTGTGAACATCTCCACTGGGGGGACAAAGGCGGGCCGGCGTGGTGCTGGCCACCCACCCCCTCGTGTGCCGTGCCGGCCTTCATAGGCGCTCGCTAACAGCACTTGCCCCCTACAGTCTCACAGGCTACACGGGGGAGCTTTGTCTTTATCTTGTGTGTGTGTGGGGGGGGGGGGGGCAGCGACTGCGTAGCGATTCGTGCGCTGCGTTACGAACCCGGCGACCCGAGTTCGATTCCCGCTCACGGCCACCACCGGTGACGATTATTTGAACCGGTCCTGGACCTCCCCTAGGTCGACTCGGCCTTGTGGTTTTTAAAGAGACATTTCCAAATAACAGTTTTGAAAGGATATGTTTTCAGACAAATACGGACACATTTAGTGCATGAAAAAAATACCAATGCAACATTGAATTTAGGCATACATTGGGTTGTCATGCAATAACGGATGATGTGTATACTTCATATTATATTGATGATAATATTATTTACATGCTTCTTTATACATATTAAATGTCTACAAGGCATATTTTATAATGGTTTGCCAGTGCCTAACTGGCCCGTGTTATACTGATGGCTGATGTATGTTGTGCTTTGTTCGGGTTAGGTTTACAAAAAAATGGTAAAATAAAAAAGACGTACAGCAAACAAGAAGCTTCAATTGAGCCGTACCCAATGGTAATTAGTGAGTTTGCTTTGTCCGAAACGATAATATTGATTTAAACAATATCAATGCCAATTAATACATTACACTACAATTTGGAGATGTCTTAGGGATGGTAAACTGCATCTGAAGACGCTGTACAAAACAATGTGCCGTACAAATGGAGTTGTTGCATATGTGTATAAAGCATATGTTTAGCTTTTCAGTAACATTGATTTTAAAATAATTTGCATGATTTTCACATTTTCTTACCGGAATACAGGATGAAGAACAAGCTGTGGTACTTTGAATTTGGGACATCAGAGACGCTGTTTGCTACCTGCAAGAAGCTCTACGAGTTCATGGAGGTGGAGGTGAGAATGGGATTTGTGACATCGACATCATCGTCATACGTTTGCTGAAAATGAACACACACCAGTCATGCGCGACATGAGGATTGCACGCAGTTCTACTGCATAGGAGAAGACGCAATTGAGATCAGTGTTTGTCATTGCTCCGTGTAAGGCGCTAAGCTCTACAACAATATCCTGCCTGTGCGTAGACAGACTGGTTAGTTTACATAGTGTCGTTCATGGAAATTGCATTATATTGTGTCGGTCATGCAAATTGCAATTGCTGAGGAAACACAGACAAGCAGGAAAGGCAGCCAGGCAAGTGGTCAGCCGGTGCCAACAATTGTCTAAGCTCTGCAGTCTTCTATGTATGAAGATGTTTTTAACCAATTAATGAGTGTTTTTTATAACAGTAATTTACTTACTTTTAGGAAAGTCGCAGCATTCTTCTTTTTTAGGAAGGTTCCTGGATTGAGATTTTTAAAGTGTTTTCAACAAATTATTGAGTGGTTATACATGCGGGAGGAAACTGGAGCACCCGGAGAAAACCCATGTGTGCAAGGGAGGGGAAACATTACCTCCCCGTGCAGATGGAAACTGGATGGAGGTTTGTCCGTTTGCCTGTACTGCCTTCTCCTGGCAAGCTAGGATATGACACCTCGACGCCTATGGGAAAGGAATTTCACGAGATTTTTGTGATCCCACCAGCCATCAACAGTGCTGGATTAGCAGGCCACCGTGGCAGCACAGCCACCACCAGACAGTGTTCTCCATCACATTGCCTCTCTGTGAGAAATAACCTTAGAGCTCATCGGATTCAAATTTCGATTTAAAGCTTTCGTGACTGCAGGGATTCATATTCTTGGTTCTTTCGGTAAGTCACGTAGAAGGGTTTTTCTTAACGTTAATAAAAAAACGCCACTTTTAAAAAAGAATCTTGCATTGTGTTTTTCACACCTGATGACGATTGCCTTGTGTTGCAATCGAAACGTCGTGATAATGTTATTGTTTTATTTTTATTATTTTATTATTTCCCTTCTACGTGACTTTACCGAAAAGAACCAAGAATATGAATACTCATCGGATTCCTTCAGTGATAAATAAAGATTTTGATTCTCATTATTATTTGTGTTCCGTGCTTGACTGCCATGAATCGACACAAAAAAACCGTCCAGTGTTAGGCAGAAGATGGCGACATTGTATGAATACCATTTCATATGTGGTGCAGGGCAGTCAACGAACATTGGTAACTCCCCATGTCCATTTGAGCAATGATACACATTTGGATTTTATTTTTGCGTGGCTCCCTTAAAGTCGTCATTGGTTTTTCGAAGAAGAAGAACAAGGAAATGTGTTAGACGTCCGATATGAAGTGAACTTGGGAGCAACGCTCGGTGTACTATCTGAAGTGTGCTTGTATCACGAGTTGCCCATCACCTTCCACTCCATCAGTGTGAAGTAAGGATGTGTTCCTAGGATCAGAAACTGTGCTCATATCCATCTTCTATTTTAATACAATTTCAAATGGGCAAGGGAAGTTTTTTTTCCATCAGGGATTGATAAACATTGTCCACGCACCAACAGGTACACATGTATAAAATATGACTATTTTTTCCAGGCTGCTCTGTATCCTTAGGGCCAGCAATTAGGGTCACTTTATAATCATGTGTGAGCTCGTTGAGACAAGTCGTATTTCAGGGAAAGTTTCAAAGCAAATTTAGTACCGCGAACCACATGTTTTGCAGCACAAATGTGGTTTGGAAATGAACAAAACAACATGCAAGTTTTGTATGTTATGTTAAACTAATAGAGTAATAAAACATAATTTAAATACAAAAATACTACAGATTATGCACAAAGGGAATAACGATGACTATAAGTCATAAAATGTAATCCTGTAATTCAATTTAAATGCAATATAATTGGGGGTAATTACGATTGGTTTTCTATGTGAGTAGCTTTTAAAACATTCAGTTCGGATGGCCAAATAGATATTCGATTTGTGAAATATAATCTGACTGAGATGGTGCAATAAAAAAGTGAAGTGCCAACACAATATTATTCCGTATAACTGAAGCATTATACATGCAACACAAGGCACATTTTTTCACATTAAGGACTTAGATTTAGCGTGAAAGTGGCAAACACTTTGTCTGGCCAATTGAAGAAACTGTTTTCTCTTGTGACTCAGGTGCACATCACATTGAAGACTCATTTCTTTAGAACTGCTTTAGCGTCTAGTTTGTTGTCCTTCCCCTGCACCTCCGATTAGCACGGTTGGCTACGTATGGTGCAAAAGAAGTTTGACGTACGTACGTCACATACATGCATACAGCAGTGGGCCGTGCCATTGACCTGGGTGGCTCCTACCTCCGTGCCTTCTCTAACACGGAGCAATTGACTGCTTTTGCTTGAATTCACAAATAAAAAACTGGGCCTAGAAATAGCATGAATGTGACTGTCATGAATGTCCCTCATAAATAGGGGTCTAAATAATTAAGGTCAATGTTTCTCGTTATCAATTCAGTAAAGTAAATGGGGAAAAAATCGAACGCAAGGCACTTAATAGGAATCCTCATGAGATTAATTGATTGGTTGCCCATGCGTTTTTCTCCCTCCAACAGTGTATTTATGCATGCGGTACAGTGTTAAGCAACTCTGCAAGGAAAAGCCATGTAATATCGCACTTAATATGAAGAGTGAAGGGAGCTCCGCAGCTGAGCTTGCGTTTTACTCCCGCAATTTGGACACAATGATTTTTACATTCTCTAAATGCATATGAAGTCAATGTGTGTGTGTCGGTAAAATCGATGGTTAAAAAACTAAGTTATTTTGTAAATACGTGGGGTTTTTTCATGGGGTTTTCGATGGTGGCAGAGAGGTAGGGGTGACATTTAGAGTGATATGCAAGAAAAATATTGCTTATATTAGTTGCCGATGAAAGTAAGAGAAGCACGGCTATTGAGCAAGTAGAACTTGTGATGAAGACTTAACCTGCCTCCACCTTCGTCGTCGTGGCTAAAGAAATGTCTTCACCACAGCTCAACTGAGATGGCGCTTTCAGCCATTGCCGCATTAACTTCATCTCTTTGGCTGAGTACGCTTGTCTTTTCGGAGCTTGAGTGCAACCAAATTTAAGTGTGAACACCAACACATTAAAATTTTGCAAGTTACATCTAATCTAAGCGGTGTAAAGTAAAGAAGTAACGATGCTGTTACCATCACACAGTGCATGGGAAGAGCCTAGTAAAGTGGAAAGCGCATTTTCATTTTATATCACAGGGCACTTAAACCCAAGATCACGTAGTTGTTGGCCCCATTCCCTCAAATGAACGTTGGCCCCAGACATCCAGCCACCTTGTCACTTTTAGTAATTTAGTTTCTTAAATTAAACTTTAAGGTTGAAAAATTGCCACAGCTGGATGTAAGATCAAAGGCTTCTAGGCCTGGCTGACTCTTGCCTATTTTTGCATTCCTTCGTAAGAATAATGAGCGCGTAGAGAGAGCAGCAGATACGAAAAGCATGCCCGGGCACACAGCTGGGAGGCTGCTGCTGCTGCTGACTGAATATTACTGTATTTTTTAAAAATGACAGAACACAAGCCAGGACCAAAAAAAGTAGGTTGACTGCCAACATTTAACAAGTTGAATGAACATCCGGGTAAACACTATCCTTTATAGTTTTTTTTTTACAAGTTTGGGTATGTTTGTTGCTTAAATTCTAGGAGAAAGCTGTGAAGGGTGAATATATTATCCGTAACAATATAATAGGAGACTATTATACCTACAGAGTTTCTTTGATCTCAGACATTTAAACGTAATAAAATTTTGTGTATTTGCACAGGGTGTTGTATTTTTTGGTGGATCGAGAACGATTTAAAATGTCACGTGGGACACCGTCCTTGTTGAAGGTTGAAGGTGTGACCTGACATCTTGTCATACATTTTGCCAATCACCAGTGGGATTTTGTACGTAACCATTTTCAAAGGGGAACTGAAGCCTTAGTAAACCAGGTTAATGCGTAATGTTATGTATGCAGAGGAAGGCAGGTATATTTACATTTACTGCAGTGCATAACCATGTGCTATGGCATTGTTAGAAAAAGAGTAACGATTTCAAGGCATGCTGACGGGGTAGCAACAAGCAATCCTGGCCATTGTGCATTAGTTTAAGTACCACGTGATTGATGGCAAGGTCACAGGGTGAGGACAAACTATATTCTTATGCGTTTTTCTGAGGAGGACCAAATGTGTTTAGATATGTAAGCCATAAAATCGGGCACACTTACATAATGCAGTACAATAATGAAAGGCAGTATATTACATTTGTGTCCACAATGTTTTTTTTTTCTTTTAACATGCCCGCTAAAGTGCCATAACCACGTTGCGATAGGGCCAGTAAGCACTGGTCAACCAGCATCTGTCTGTGCAGACATGGCACTTGCTGTGTTGCAGAACCATCTACTCAAAAAAACGGGCCGTACCCATGATGGCACCACTTAGTTTAGGGCGATTATGACCAAAGCTAATTCAGGAACGCTTTGTTATTTGCTTGACCTTGCCGATGCACCATGTGAGGGGCACTCCGCTAAAGTATACGATCGAAAGAGTGTTGCTTTAGTAGATTTCTCACCCATCTGTACGGCATTTTAGAGGTTCAACGGTGGGTTCCTCATTCTAGATGTGAAATACTCGAGAAAGAAACTGGTAAAGCTTCTCGACATGGGACACTAACTTCATAAAATAAAGTCTTGAGACACACAGAAGCTTTCATAGATAAATTAATAATGATCACTGTCATAAAGTGTCTTGTTGCTTGATATAATGCATGGGAATTACACCCAGTGTTTATTATCGAGGTAATTACTTTATAGAATAAGTTACGCAATGGAATACTTTTTGTTCGAAGATGTTAGCACGCGGGCTGATCAATGTGACACACGTCCATTTTTTTTCCTCAGCTGCTTCTGCACATTTCTCACATTTTCGTACAATGCAACACTTTTTCTTTGAACAGTGAATGTTACTTTCTTGATGGCTCAAGGCCTGGGAAAAAATACCCAACATAGTTATTCATATTTTGGGAAATGTTAACATTAATTGAAAATAAATAACTGAAACATTACATGCATGTCCTGATAAACAGTGAGTCCCATATGCAAAATTACAATATAACATCGTGGGTGTTTAGAAAAGGAGAGCCTTGTCGATGAAAAAAAATAGCATTTCTGAAGCCACGTCTATGCATATAGCTCACAAACAAACGCTTAATTGACATGTTACATCATTAAACACGAGTGCAAACATGAAAACAGCTTTGGATTGAGACGAGGCTCAAAAGAAAGCTGTTTCTGGTGTGGACCAATCAGTTTCAAAGACAATGCATTTATTATCAGAGTGTTTTTTGTTTGCATTTTGACCACAAGCATGTCTGACATGATTCTTTGTAAAAGGTTTTAGTTTTGTGTTTTAACCACTTAACACCTGTTTTGTGGCCAGATAGAAGGGGAAAAAAAACCTATTTTCAGCTTTGGATTGTTGATCAACTGAATGGGGAAAAAGCCTGTAAAGAGGATTTTGTTTCTTAAAAGCATATTAACATTCCAGAAACATGGGGGAAACTCAAGAGTGATCTTTTATTCCCAGCTGATTTATTCATTTCAATGAACATCCATTTTTAGTTTTTTATATAAATACTGAGCTGGGTACTTAACGGGGCTGACGTGGTGACAGCATTGAGGAGAGCGGATATTGTGCAGCAGATATAAATGCGCCATGATACAAACATTTTCATTATAGACTGAAAATAAAATGCAACTGCCACTGTGCTCATATGCAAATAATTAATACTGGTAGGAACCTCCTGGTTACACCAGCCCACAGGGGATTATTGTGTCCATCCGTCGTGCAGGGAAGGGCTGGGTGGGGAGGGAGGGGCTGGGTGGGGGAGGGTGGGGAGGGGCTAAGTGGGGAGGGTGGGGCTGGGTGGGGAGGGTGGGGAGGGGCTGGGGTGGGGGGTGGGAGGGGTGGGGCTAGGTGGGGAGGGGCTGATCACCCCGTGGTGCCCTTCTAAAACTCAACGTTTAACCTACTCACGCCGGCTTGTGCCCGCCCTCACAGTCGGCCCTATTTGCGGAATACACCACGCCGCCGTTGACCCCTGGCCATTGACCGAGCAACCCAACGTTCTACCAGCTCCCTCCGCAGGAATGTGTTTTATTCTGGCTGCCCTTGTTTACGGCAATTATAGTGGAGCAATCACGAGTTTTCAAAGGAAAATAAATGGATTTAAAGGCTTGATTGGTGTGGAAAATTCTTTTTTTGCAGGTCAACATTTATTTGTCGTCCAACATGCGCCTTTCGGCTTTGCACGCTCACCTACTATGTAAATGTTGTGATTCCCTTTCAGATGCGACTAGAGTGGTGTTCTTTATTGCACGGCCTGCGGGCATCTGGCAGACAATGGTGGCCTTTAGTGAGACTCCCGAAAATACACACATGTGAAAAAAACGTCCATAATGCTGTCAAACTCAATGGTTTCAAATGTGCGACGGCCCTCACACTATCTGCGAAAGTGCCCCCCCCCCTCTGAAACTTAGTGAAGAACACTGGACTAGAGCGTTGACCAAGGATTTGTATGCCACGCATCCCCTTGTGCCAGTGTGACGGCGTGCAGCTGGATCTGGCCAACAGTTCTCTGGAGGGCATCACAGTGCTGAACATTCCGAGCATGCACGGCGGCTCCAACCTCTGGGGGGAGACCAACACTCGACGGGTCAGCCGACGCAGCAGCATGCGGAGGAGTGGCCGAGAGAAGGTTCAAGCCACCATTGCCGACCAGCGCGAACTCAAGTTCTGCCAGCAAGGTCATTGCAATCACTCGTGTGCACTCAACACAAAGATCCCCCGTATAGGCAAAACAGACTTTTGGCTCAAGTGGTGTTCGCAAGCACCTATGAATTTCGATTTAAAGCTTTCGTGACTGCAGGGATTCATCTTCTTGGTTCTTTTGGTAAAGTCACGACAGAGACAAAGTCATTCAGACTCTGTCTTCTCGACAGACCTGTTCTTCACCTGAGGACGGCTGCTTGCGTTGTGGCCGAAACGTCGTGAGAATTATTTTATAATGTTTTATTTATTTATTTTATTATTTCCCTTCTACGTGACTTTACCGAAAGAACCAAGAAGATGAATCCCTGCAGTCACGAAAGCTTTAAATCGAAATTTATGGAATTATTATTTAGGGATGTACATCCATCGTGTCGGCAGCAAGTGGTGTTCGCAAGCGCCTTTGAAGTCCGGCATGGGACACATGAGGGGGTGGATGGCCAGCACCATGCCCGGCTGCCTTTGTCTCCTTAGTGGCGATGTTTGCACACTGTGCTAGGTACTAATTTTGAGGCTGAGTTAACCTAGGAGAGGCCCAGAACCAGTTCAGATGATATTAATTATTTTTTTTCGGGTTTGCCGGGTTCGTATTGCAGTATGCTAACCACTACGCTACCACTCCCCACACACATCAGCGTATGTCCACCAGCACGCATGATCACACACGTATCACATGTGTGATTGTCCAAATGTGTTTGTGTGAGCACATGAACACTGCCTTAGGGGGTCTCATGCTCCATTCCTTGCACTCGCAAATGATCCATTCCTCATGTTTACCAATATTCCTCATTTATATGTAAATAAGGTCATGATGTGTTGCGCACAACTGTTGATTGGGGGAAAATGGAAAATGTTGACCCTGTGAAAGCACACGAGCAGTTGTCTGAGGTGTGTTACACTCACCACCTGCATGAACTGACACACGCACTGTGCACCAAAAGCACACAAACACGGATTTAAACTGAACTGATCCCTGAACATACTGGGGGGGAGCGGTGGCGCAGTGGTTTGCACACTTTGCTATAAACCCAGTGACATGAGCTTGATTCCTCGTGCCGGCTTACATCAGTGACGAGCGTAATATCTGAATTTGTCCTGGGCCCTCCCCCACAATCCTCCTCCCCATCCTCCTTTCACAAACTCACACCGTCCAGCAGTGAATTGACAAAAGGTTGCTGAGGTTCATGTAATGTTTTTACTGTTAAAAAATATTGTACGTGCATAAAGATGTTAAATTATGCAGGAAAGACTCAAACCCTTTTCAGTTGAGTCATTAATTTTAATGTCTGGCCAATTCATGTTTAATAAGTGCTTTACATGTACGGTATAACCAAAAAATCACCAGTCTGTTTGACCGAGCATGAATACGTGTATATATATATACATATAGAGTGGAAATTAGATATTGTATTGGTGACTCACTCAAACCCTCCTGGACTATGTTAGCAACATCTACACACCTTTGTTCTACACGTCACATTTCCATGATCACTGGCAACAGAGATTGGTTGGCCAGGAACAACCCAGGATCAGCACCACATAGCAGACCCATGTTCCTTCTACGTCATGAGCCACACGGCTTCATCCCTTTCACTCTCTTCCTCTCTATTATGGGAAGTTGTTTTTAAAATGCAAAGTGTTTTTAAACATACAATTAATAGAGTCTTGGATGACGATACGAACCCAAGCTACAATGTCTTATTTTGTATTTTTTCTTCTTTCGTATGGCATTGTGAAAAGCAGCAGTTTAGATTTTTTCTCAATGACCATCATAAATGAATGCAAAGGTTCCTCATCCAGTCCAATGATGTGGTTGACGCAGTGTGGATTTCAGCGATACCGCCAGGATGTGCATGGATGGATCATTCATCGGTGATGTGCTTGATGGTTTGGACTTCTCCACAGTCGCAGTTGGGCGATTTTTGATCTTCCATTTATGGAATGTGTAAGCGCATCTGCCGTGTTGTGTTCGAGCGCAGTTCAATGTGATTCATAGTCGTTGTGGAAGAGAGAATCCCGGTATTTTTACCGCCGGATCGTAAATGATGTTTTTGTTTGCCACGTCCATCGCCGCCCATAATTCAGACCACCAAGTGGCAGTGTCTCTAATGTTTGTAGCTGACGCTGAGTAGGGAGATAGGGCGGTAGTTTTGAGCGTCCGATGCGTCCTTGCCTGGTTTCAGAATGGCTATTATCCTTGCCTCTTTCCACTCTTTCGAAATGATGCTTGTGGAATGGATATCAGTAAAGAATGTGGCTAGCCATTTTCTTGCTCTTGGTCCCAAGTTCTTGATGAATTCTGGATAAATATTGTCAAGACCTGAGGCTTTCCCGCATTTCAACTGGGCAATACCGGCATCTACTTCCTCCACTGAGAATGGACGGGAGAATTCAGAGGTTTTTTGGCAGCTATCTAGTGTGCAATAAAGTTCTTTGTAGACTTGCCGTCTTATGCTTTTGTCGATTGAAGTTCGTGAATTGTTGATAAGTTGCCTAGCAATCTCGTCAGGACTGACTTGCCGAGGATTATCGGCTGGCGTCGCGGCAGCTCCCATCAACCTCAGGAGGCGCCAGGCTTTACGGCTCGATTTTGCAAAGTCAAGTGCCTCAACTGTTTCACGTCACCTTTCTCTTCTTTGCAAATTCAGTGACTCGAGTAAAGCTTTTGCAGTCTCCTGCTTCTTATCAGCATTGAATTTCCGGAAAAGTTGTTCGCTTTCTGGAGTCCAACATGGAGTGAAGACCTTTCTGAAGCCTCTTACGATGTTGGCCTTGGCAACTGCCTTGATGAGACCAACGAAGTGACGGTAGTTGACTGCACGTGGAGGTATCATTCCAACTGATTCTTCCAAGTCCGCAGTGAAATTCACCCATTCAGCTGATCTCAGATTCCGACGCGGTATTGGTGCGCAGCGGAAGAGTGAAATCTGAAGACCGATATGGATCACTACAGGTCTATGTTGGCTATTTGGAAAGTCGTCTAGGATTGTTCTCGTCGACGGCATCAGATTTCTCTTCTGCTCCCGAGACACAAAACATAAATCGGGCGTTTCACACTTTTTTCAGCTCGCTGACTTGAACGTACCGCGGTCTTTTAAGTGCTGGTCTTCTGCTGCTGCCCATGATGTCAGTTGTTCACCAGCTCTATCGTTGGCGCTATAGCCCCACAAGGTGAGGTGGCTGTTGAAGTCGCCTATGTGGATGATAGGGTGGCTTGGCTTCGGTAATGCCGGACACGACCATTCCATACCTGGAGGCTTGTAGACGTTGACCACTGTCACGTTGTTGATCTCGATGGCGATGTAGTGTGGCGAGGTGTGTGGCACGACCTGGACCGTGTCCTTCAGGTCGTTCTTTACGTATGTGGCAAGGCCGTGTTTCGGATGGTGGCTTGCAGCAATGAGAGTGTATCCGATTATCTTTGACCGAGGGCACTGTCGATCCAGATGCGTTTCTTCCAGTGCAAAGACGTCGACCTCTTGAAACTGGAGAATCTTCGCAATGTAATCGCATTTCGCACTGGAGGGGCCCTCGACGTTAAGCTGCATGATTCGCAGCGATGGGACGACATTCACATTGCTCTGACCTTGTGAAATGCTCTCTGTGCTGTTGCTTTTCAGGCCGGGATACCATTGTCGGGCATTCGGCCGCCGGTGTGATGACATTTGTTGTGCTTTCGCGAGCAGGTTGTCATCTTCTTCCCCATTTTAAACTAAAACTAAATTCAACTTTTTTTTATTTTACCAGGTAAGGTCCACTGAGCTATATTGCTATTTTTCAGAAGCAACCTGGCCACAAACAATAGCTCATTGAAGTGGCTTATCATGTGGATATGTATCGCAGCCAAATACTCTTAAACGCACATTTCTAAATGTGGAGAGAAAAACCGGAGGACCAGGTGAAAAATCAATGCGTTCTCAGGCAGAACATCCAAATATACAGGCGTCAGGGTTGGGATTGAACCCACGACTTTCTTTACACCAGGCAAGGTAGTTAATATCTCACCACCGTGGAACCCTCAAAACAACAATAGAGCCCCGAAGTTGAAACAAGCAAAGTTTACTGTTGGCTGCGCATCCTGTTTCCACATTGATCCCACGATGTCATGACTGGTTTTGAGCTTTGCCCAGATAAAATGAGCCCACTGGTGTTTAGTCTCTCAGCCTGGTTTGCCAGGGAGGACGGCATGTTTCCCTGTGGTCATGAAAACACGGCAGGGGCTGAGCTGGAACTTAATTTATTCCAAGTAGCTGATGTCATCCTCGATGACCATACTCATCACTGGGCAGATTGCCCTCTACACACATGGCAATACACTCTCCTTATACACAGGCACACAAAGATGTGCTACAATGCCGTGACAAGCACATATGTTCAAGCACATTATCACAAGCACATCAGAACCAGCATGAATAAACAAGCACATGTAACGAACTACAATAAATCACATATGCTTGTTGAGCACTGTTTTTCATCTCATGTTAGTCCATTCTAACGTGGATGATATAGTTGTGTCGATTGGGAAAGAGGAAAATGACGTTTGCTGTTCATTTATTTCCACTGGTTTTGAATGGAAAAAGGTGGCATCATAAATTATATCCAGAAGGAACATTGTTTGTAATGCAGAGGAATGCAGAATCATCGAATTGCACGCACATTTGTGAGCGAGTGCATGATAGGTTCACTGCACAGGCTTGATTAAGCACACAGAGATAGGAATCAGGAATACCGGCACATGTTTATGTGGTGAGAACTGCAAAGAGACATCGCCTTCCCTGAGGAATTTCTCTTGAGACGAGAAAAAACCCCAATGTATGTCTTAAATACCATCGTATTATTTAAATTGCAAACAAAAACCGTTAATATTCCACTGTTAATTAAGTCCACTGCGGATTACCTGAAAGACAAAACACTTATGCACGACCATTTGCAGTTGAATTTCGGTGCCAAGAAAGCTTATACAATTATTCCGAGCATT